ATCTGCGGGTGATAATTTGTACTTGGTATCGAAAACACGAAATCCTAATAGTTTAAACTTCCTGGAACTTCATGAAGTTTACCCTCACGCTTTGATTAATAATTCGCTCTATCATTTCTATAGCAATGATACGACACTAAACGAGTCTAATGAAATTATGTATGTTCGTTAGAAGAAATATCTGCTTCAGTGACTTATTTTTGTACAATTGGAATTACCCGTTTTATATTCACATGTAACGCATACACCTTTGCCATTTTTATTTCCAAAGGAAAATATTTTTTTTTCATTCACACAACAACGACTGTGATGATTATCCTATTGATGAAAGGGGTGTTGCCGTTTTATGCATGCATGAATCACTTACAGATTTCGCTAATCATCTCTTGGTTAACTGTAAAGTAAAAGTGGGCATTGAGACTCGGAATTGTTTATTCATACTTAGAGCCATGTGGGTGGAAAAGAAAACTGCCAGAAGTAATAACAGAGAATTTCTAAAAAATAAAGAGAGCATTTAATACAGAAATTTTAGCTTCGAATGAACGATCACGCATTCAGTCTTTACGTGAAATTGAAAGTGGCGAGCAAAAAACCAATCGAAATCGAAATGATTCCATAAATAAACGCCGATCCAAAATTAGCAATGCTATTCAAAAAGCGCCAAATTTAGAAAACCAAGGACAAACAGCTCAAAGACTAGCTGATAAGGCCCAACAGTCACGCCTTGCTCGAAATTCTGAGGCCCCCATTTAAAGAACTAAAAGGCTTGCTAGTAACGCCCAGCGTATACGCATTATGCGGAATTTCGAAAGCACTGAGGACCGAGAGAACAGATTGATAGAGATTAGAGCTAGAAAAAAAAGCAAGAAAAAGTATTGATGGATTGATGGTATAGTGGATTCTATGACTGATGGTAATCAAGTATTCGCTGCTTTGGTTGGTCCATCATTGCATACGCGTCACTCTGAATCTTATTTTGCAAGTGCAATGTATAACCCAGTGAATCCAAATGTGAGCTTAATTACAGACTGTGATGGCAGAGTTGAAAATATTTTTCAAAATCAGCAAACAACAGGCAAATGGGTTTGTAATATTGAAATCTGCAATTTCGACAAGCAGGTTATATCGAATCGATTTAAGTCATTCATATCATCTTTCATCAATTTGACACCTTCAGACATAGGTCAATTCATCGAAATTGTTGATGTGTGCACAAATAATGGGGCTCATTATTCAAAGAATAAAAAGCCCTATTGCAAATGTAATGAGGAAAATTGCATGCACTCTATTTTCTTAAATATGAGAACGCTAAATTTGGGTCATTCATCTTTCTGCTATGAAAAAGAAGATAACTGTAACTCAGTTTTGTTGTTCTTGCGTCGAATATCTGTTCACTTTCCCTTTATTAGACAAGTAGTAAAAATATTAGGGCTATTCGCGATCCGGTGCAAATGGCCTAGCATCATTGCATTGCAAATTTGTATTGCAAATTATTTGCAATACACAAACAAAATACACGCATTTGCATTTGTCATGGCTTGGCAAATTTGCAATACCGAAAATCCATAGCATAAAAATGCTATGCATTGCATTCATAAACAAAACCAAAGCTGATGCACAAAAATTGTTTTGCAAAAGCTTTACCATGACAGTTTAATAAAGGTCGCTCACAATCCATGGCATATTTCTGCAATTGCATAAATTTGTCAGCTCTTATGCACCGAATCGCGAATAGCCCTATTGTATTCAATTCGACATGAGTTACGAAAAGCCAACAATTGAAAACTTCCTTGATTGTAGCAAATTTCGAAGAACTAAAAAATGTTGGCGCAGCTATAAATTTGAAAGCAAGGGGTTTTTCAGTCGAAACTTTTTCATTCAACGAGGAAAGTGAAATCTATGACAAATACCGAAATGCTTTTGAAGCTCTCAGAAATAAGGAAAGTGATTGGCCCATTCACTCATGTATTTCCTGTTTGAATTTGTGTACCAATTCCCAATTGCAGCAAATTTCACTTAATTTGCATGAAAAATATCCTATATTTATAGATCTATTAGAGCATTATGCAGACAATTTGTGGGTGTTTACTCACCGTATATGCAATTATTGCTTACAAAAATTTAAGAAAAACATCTTGCCACCCACTTGTTTCTTAAATAATTTACAATTTGATCCTATTCCTGAATGCATATCTTCACTAAATGAATTTGAGAAATTGTTTATCCATCGTGCCAAAGCTTTTCCAAGTGGTTGCACGAATGGACACTGTCATGGGCGGACATAATAAACGACGGCCGAACTCTGATGTAATTAAGAAAATTAAAGGAAGAGTTTTCCATTTGCCACTGCCCCTTGCAAATAGTTTAAATAAGCTTCCAAATCCAACGGAGGCCATTTTAAAAAATCAAGATCTCACTATAATTGTCCACGGGATTCCGAACGATAAGAAGCACATGTGGCAATCTATGGTAGATGTCAAAAAGATTTATATGGCCCTTAAATGGCTCAAAGAATATAATCCATTATACTCTGATATTGTTCTTCCTCATAATGTCGAAACACTGCTGGACCATGTTACAGTTGTAGTTGATAATATTTCTGAAACCACTTCAGGTTAAAATTTCCAGGACGATGTTCGAGATGATGTTGATGTTGGAAATGAAGTTGAAATGCATGTACCAAGTGAAAAGAAAATGCTGACACAAAAGGATGCTTGTGATGATTTTTATGAAAATATGTCTATATATCCGATAATGCAAACCGATGCGAATACTGAGTCTGCCACTGTGTATCAACTCTTGAAAGTAATTGATGAAAATATTAACAACCGTGATATGGCATTAGATCTGAAATGTTTTCCTGATATTTTCTGCACTGGTGGTAATGGTCAAAATCAGGAAAGAAGAATCACAGCGCACGGCAGTTCGCGCGAGTGACGAAAGCAGCCACAGTAGCATGCTGAAAGGACTCTCTTATATATACACGAGATTTGGAAGTTTTTATCCAGACGTCCAATCGACATGTTTGAGATATCGTTGGAAAGGTCTTGCAGAGTGTGTCCAGAAAATGTATTCAAGCTTCATAAACGATTAACCGGATTCTTAAAAATTAGGCTAAAGTGTTGCGAATCAAAACACGTTTTTTTTCTTTTGCCGGTTTAAGGGGGCGTGTGGGTACACCCAACATATTTAGTGTTATTCTGTAGGCCAATACCTTTCAAACAATACCTCATATATTAAGTTCCGGCTACTAGTTGGAAGGATATAGAGGTAAATGTGTTTTGGTTCGTGTCTCCACTACGAGATGCTTTGGTATGTATGTGGCGTCTGTACGTACCATCATTTAATTTTGTTCAAACTTTCAGGAATTAAAGTACAAAAAAAACTAAGAAGGTTTGTTCCAGGATGTCTTGATTCGTATGCCTTTGTGGGTGCGGCTGCTGCCTGAAATTCGAAAAAAGGCGATTTTTTAAACTACCACTGAGGCCACACTACTCAGTCCATGTCATTGATGTGGATATCGGTAGAAGGGTCTTAAAACAAGCTATCTAACGTTGTCTTTTGCGTTTATAAAATATAAATATGTCATAATGTGATCGCCTGAAAACTAAAAATCGGGCTGCTGAAAATATACATTTCGGAAATTTTCTCAAGAACTGGTCAGTCGATTTTATTCTAGGTTTCCACAAGTCTAGCCCAAAATCTTAGCTTTCATCTGGTATATAGCTTATATCTGAGAAAACGCTTGTTGTGGAGATATTGCGACTCAAATTGAAAAAATGTCGCTCCAAAAAGGGTCAAATGGTTAAAAATTAACAAAGTCATCTAATTTGGTTACTTTAAGATATACAAATAACATACCCAGTTCCCCGAAAAAAATTGCCCATTCCCCGATTGCCACTTAAACCGAAATTCTCTGCAAGTTGGGGAATTTCCCGCGAGTTGGCAAGTTGAAGGATGCAGCTGTGCTAATCACTTCGTACATGTCTTGGAAGCCACAATTTATGTGTATTTTATAGTTTTTTTCAGTCACATGCCGAAATTGTAACATTTTCCCCCACTTTACTTGCAGGTATCTACACAGTATTTAAATATGCTACATGGGTTTATCACCCGCACTTAACCAACCTGGGAAGACGCGTACAATATTACCTATAGTTGTACATAAATATGTACGTATGAATGCATTTAGATCACCCAATGTGCCGCTACTACTTACATACATATGTATAAATTGCCACTGATCAAAACTACTGGAGAAAAAAGCATTAGTTTAATAGCACGAGTGCAACAGCGTACACGTGATAGAAGTAAAACTTCTCAAAAAAATGACATGTGTGCGCCCCACACCCGGTAGAAATCTTAACAAAAATAAACTACGAGACTATCATACGAATATAGTTGTTTATTGTATCCATAGTTGGTACCAAGTTCATAGGTTTCTATCATATCTCATATTTTTTTTTATTTTTTCGAATACAAAGGATATGATCATTCTTTTCGCTTTATTCCGTATTCGAACAATTATGTGTTTCAATGGACACATCGATTTGAATACATAATTTAGATTAAGATAATATTTTAGCAATTTGTTTGAGAAAAATAAAACATTTAGATTATTGTTATGAATTTCCGTCGATTTTAAATATGCTACTCCAAAATAATTGATATCAAATAAAACACCTCTTTGAGGTAAAATTTTCGAGTGACGAAAGCTGAACTAGAAACACAAAATTTATGATATCAATTTCGTGACGAAAATTATACGCATTTTTTAACTGCCTTTGAAACGTACGGAAAATCTTTTTTTATTTATTCGGAACGTTGCGAAATTCCGTTTACTGCTAGAAACACAAAATAAAAACAGAACTTTTGCAACGATTCGTATGAATAAAAAAGGTTTTCCGTACGTTTCAAAGGCAGTCACGAAATTGATATCATAAATTTTGTGTTTCTAGTTCAGCTTTCGTCACTCGAAAATTTTACCTCAAAGAGGTGTTTTATTTGATATAATATACAGATAAAAGAATACTTACAACCGCGTCCTGGTAGGTTGTATCATGGAGCTTCTCCTCCATGTCAAAGACTGCGTCAATGGACATCATAGGCAGGATGTCGTTGAGCTCATTATGGAGATCCTCTCCAGTCTCTCCACTTATTTTGCAAATTATTTGATGCACCTTCTTGGTGAGAACTTTTGTCTCNAAAATTTTACCTCAAAGAGGTGTTTTATTTGATATAATATACAGATAAAAGAATACTTACAACCGCGTCCTGGTAGGTTGTATCATGGAGCTTCTCCTCCATGTCAAAGACTGCGTCAATGGACATCATAGGCAGGATGTCGTTGAGCTCATTATGGAGATCCTCTCCAGTCTCTCCACTTATTTTGCAAATTATTTGATGCACCTTCTTGTTGAGAACTTTAGTCTTCCTAACGGCTTTATGGTGTGTCAACATGTCAGGTTTTTGGATCATCTAAATTGTATAAATAACATACATATGTACACGTAAAACACAGTTTGGTTACGTCCACTAAATATGTTTTTCTCAACACATGATTTGATTATAGCTACATTATTTCGTTATAGTTACCAAATCATGTGTTGAGAGCAATATATTTAGCTGACTTTTTTCGGAGTATATATTGAAATAAATACAGGGTCCGGGAAAGTGGTCTAGATACTTAAGGACATTTTCATTGGGGTCATTTCTAATTAATGAAATGGTAATGACTAGCTGAATGAGAAGTGACCTATATAATAAATGTCCTTAAATATCAGGATGACTTACCCGGTAAGCCTGTACATTTGGGAATAAATGAACAAAATGAGAGGCAATTACATACATTCTCTTCTATCTTGTCCATCCGGGCCTCTAGGTCACACTGTTTATTAAAAATATGATGCAACATCTCCATTACATCTGTAACGATGGAAGAATAGATAAGTTCAAATATTTCAACAAATGGTTTGCCTTTTACCTTTATTGGGATTGGACACCGGCGGAGAAGACTCGGTTAACGGTGTACTCTGNTTTGGATCATCTAAATTGTATAAATAACATACATATGTACACGTAAAACACAGTTTAGTTACGTCAACTAAATATGTTTTTCTCAACACATGATTTGATTATAGCTACATTATTTCGTTATAGTTACCAAATCATGTGTTGAGAGCAATATATTTAGCTGACTTTTTTCGGAGTATATATTGAAATAAATACAGGGTCCGGGAAAGTGGTCTAGATACTTAAGGACATTTTCATTGGGGTCATTTCTAATTAATGAAATGGTAATGACTTGATGAATGAGAAGTGACCTATATAATAAATGTCCTTAAATATCTAGGATGACTTACCCGGTAAGCCTGTACATTTGGGAATAAATAAACAAAATGAGAGGCAATTACATACATTCTCTTCTATCTTGTCCATCCGGGCCTCTNACTAAATATGTTTTTCTCAACACATGATTTGATTATAGCTACATTATTTGGTTATAGTTACCAAATCATGTGTTGAGAGCAATATATTTAGCTGACTTTTTTCGGAGTATATATTGAAATCAATACAGGGTCCGGGAAAGTGGTCCTAGATACTTAAGGATATTCATTTAGGTCATTTCTAATTAATGAAATGGTAATGACTAGCTGAATGAGAAGTGACCTATATAATAAATGTCCTTAAATATCAGGATGACTTACCCGGTAAGCCTGTACATTTGGGAATAAATGAACAAAATGAGAGGCAATTACATACATTCTCTTCTATCTTGTCCATCCGGGCCTCTAGGTCACACTGTTTATTAAAAATATGATGCAACATCTCCATTACATCTGTAACGATGGAAGAATAGATAAGTTAAAATATTTAAACAAATGGTTTTCCTTTTACCTTTATTGGGATTCGACACCGGCGGAGAAGACTCGGTTAACGGTGTACTCTAGTCCAATTGTGAATTCATAACTTGAAATAGATTTCATTAGTACACTTAATTAATATTTATCTTAATCACAATTTACCTTGATGAGAAGCGAAGTTTAAATAGGAGGAAAGCTTCACCTTCTTCCTTGCTCCCATTGATGTGGAGGCGACCGGTTCAGAATCCCCGAAAATAATGGAATTTGTCCATTTCTCTAATGGGAATTTCATGTAAAGTATTGAAAACAAAAAAATATTATTAGTAGTATAAGACTTAGATTTTTAATATTAAGCGATTTAATGAAACATAACTAGTTCGAAAAGCCGTGAAAGAAGTGATGAAGAACGGGAATTAAGATAAATTTATTTTCAAATGGAACACAAAAATATTTGTACTGAATAATACTTTTGGAAATTTTTCTTTTCACTTGCAAGTTGAATACCAAGAGAAGAAAAAGATTCAAAGGGTTCACTAAAGTAATTACTTAATTCTTTAAAACTGTATCCAATTACTATCTCTTCTCCCGATTCTAAACGCGACTCTATAACTTTAAAAGGTCCTGTGATTTCGCTAAAACAAAATGAGTCTTTTTCTTTCTTAGGATTAATCGAAAATTGTCCAATTTTTAATTGATTTTGTTCTAAACTTTTTCTTTCCTCGAGTCTTAAAAATAGTTGCTGTAATATATTAGTGGGACTTTTTATAATTTTTTTCATACGTTGCATAAAATTTTCTAATTTATAGGCGGAGAAAGAATCTAATGGTCCGAAATCTTTAGCACAATCAGGTAAATGAAGAAGGCCATGAATATTAAAACTTATCAAATGATCGCCATATATATTTCCAAACAAACGAACAAAATCTTGCAATAATCCTTTTACTATATTGGTCTCAGTTTTGTAGGACCTTTCACAAGAGAGAATGCGTATACTGGCATGCAATAAAATAAAATGATAAAATAAATCGTCATCAAATTTTTTTTTAAAAACGAATATTCCCGAATACAACAAAAATTGCCTATACTCTGTGGACTTTCAATTCCCGATATCATCTAAATTTCTACACACCCTTCCGAACTCAGATGGTACCCAATGAGAAACGAAATTAAATTTTTCATTCATTTAGGTAATATTTCCTTTTTTGAGTAACAGATTTAACAGTTTTTTAGTCACACCTAAGTCGACAAGGTGCATAGGATCCAAGGGGAATTGAGAAACCATTCCAAAATTTGTTGCTTGAGTATATTTTGTTGTTGTAAAGATTTAAAATTATGGTGGGCTTTATCTACTCTATTTTTAAAAGACATATTTGTTCTTAGGCCACTTGTATGTTTAGAAAAGCACACTCTCTTATTTACATAGCTGCCGATTTACTGCATTTAGGGCAGCCATTTTTCCCAATTGTGACCTTGGACACTAGTTATAAAGCACGCGCCGGCGAATCGCATGTAAAAATACGGATATTAAATTTTTTTAATGTGGTGTTAAACATACCAACTTTCAAGCCATTTTCTCTCAAATAAGCTACTTCTTCAAAAAATTCTTTCATAAGATGATTTACGTTATCTGGCTTATGTTTTCCTGAGAAGCAGGCAATAGTGAAAGGATTTTCGTTTGGAAGTGAGTGGAAATTCGCCAAGTGGTCACTCGATTTTTTACAATGACGCAAAAATCTTTAATAAGAATTGAAATAGGTAGTCTTAAACATCATCTAAAGGGTTTATGGAGTCGTTTTTGGAAAACATTTTTATTTTTATTTTATTTGCAACTAAAAAATATAGTTAATTTTTCTTTTTACATTAATTACACAAAAACTATTAAATCAAATGACTTGAAACTTTCAGGGTTTGCTGAGAAATTAATGAAGTTTGAGAAAATAAAATGTTCAATGCCGGCAAATATTATTTTATTATTTTTTTTTTAACAGTTGTTAAAAACAAGTGGTTTTTGTAAATGTTCTCAATTGCTTAAAAACAATATTTTTACTTTTTTATGCTTCTTATGTAAATTGTATCCAAATCGTGAAAAAAAATCTTTGGGATCTTATTTGAGTTTGAAAATATTCGAAGTTTTGTCGCGCGACTCACATCTCACCTCACGACATCAGCGACATCGCACACCCCTCCTGAACGATAAGCTTGTTTTTGCCAACAAAAAATAAAAAAAAGTTAATTGGCGTATAGTTGTTTTATTGAATATATCAAACATTAATTACATTCTTACATATACTTTCCTTGTAGCGCTCTTACACGATATGTATTTGCATATGTAAATGCTACTTTTCTGGTGCGTTCTAATATATGGTACATACGAGTAGATACAAAAAAGTATCATTTACATATGAAAATACACGTCGTGTAAGAGTGCTGTTAAGAAATAATCACATTTTCGCGTCTCGACACGTTCGCTGCCGTCTCCGAGGCACCGGCGCGCGTATACGCATCGTTATACTTTGCAACATGCTTGGTCACATTCGTTTGTTTTTTGATGGTTCGGTCATCACGAAAATTTCGGTCTTAAATACTTTTTAAGTTTTTGTATGTAATAACAATTAAGCGATCGCGAAAACTGGAAAATGGTTCGAGCAACTTCGTGCTGCAATC